CCAGGCCAGGCAGGCAGGCTGCTCTGAGCAAGGCTCTCCCAGAAAGGGCTGTCTGCCCAGAGAGAGCCAAGCACGGGGTCAGCTGCTGTCCCCTGGGATGCGTTAGTGTGGTGACAAGGGTTCCGCAGGCCTGTCACTTGGCATCTCATCAGCCTGGTTTGGACTGCCTGGCAAAGGAAGTTCTGAAGCTGGCCTCAAAGGAGATGGGGGTGGGATGGGGCCCTTGGCAGCTGGCAGCAGAGGCAGCTGGAGAGGGAAGAGGGTCTGGGGGGGACTGGGATCTGACTCCTCCAGGAGAAACCTCCTTAGCCAGCCCCAGCCCTCATTGGTCGGTATACCAAGACTGGGGGTCACCAAGTGGTGGGGTATACAGCAGAAAACTCTGACTCTGTCCCCTCCATTCTGCTGTCCCCAGAGGACTGATGGGCCCCTCAGGACCCAGGCTGGGCTCAGGAGAGGCCAAGCCACAGTGGGGACAGATGTTTCCATTTTAGAGCTTGGGTTGTCATAAATTGTTTGTTCTCACCAAACCCTGTTTCTTATTAACTGGCTCTGGGAGATGGAGACGCATCCATGTGCTGTGTAGCTCCCGTGTGTGCTTGATCATGTGTGTGCACGCGCGCGTGTGCGTGTGTGTGGTACTCAGCATGTGTGCATGTGTACAGTTCCCATATATACATATATGTACATATAAGTATGTATACATACATATGCATATGTAGCATGTATGTGCATGTGTGTGCATAACCCTGAGAACACTGGGCCGGGAAGGGAAGTAGATGCTGTGGGCTCCTCTCCTCCTGGCCTTCCTTAGGCAGGCCTGCCTTTGTCCTGGGAACTATTTCTTAGCCCTGGCAGCCTCGCCCACCTGTGGGTCCTAAGCATGCCTAAGTAGGGTTCTCACATCAGGTCTGCCTTCTGTTCCCATCACTGCATGTTGCATGCTGCCGCCCCTGTCTTCCCCTTTCTTGCTAGAAGAGCCTCTTCTACGGACTCTGGTACCCACTCTCCTCCATCCTCCATCCTCCAGGGCTGTGGGATCCCTACCTACTTGCTGTGGTGATGGATCCCCCTCCTGACCAGGGATAGTCTAGGAAGAGCAGTGTGAAGCAGGCCTTGGAAAAGTAAGGGGTCCTCTGGAGAGGTTCCCGCTCCGAGCTGTGCCCTGGATGTCATCATACCTTGATGCAACATGACCTGTATAGCAGCCTTCTTTCTTGTGACCGAGGGGACCAAGCAGAGGCAGTGAAGCTACACACGGGCAGAGCTTCTGTGTTAGCCTTTCTGGGGTTTCTCGTCACTGAGGAAAATGCTGGCTGTCAGTCACTGAGTGCTTCCCACCTCTAGAAACTGTGAGACGCTGGCAGTATCCAAGAAACGCTTTTCCAGCACTCAGCCATGCAGAAAGCGGAATCCCTGTTCTCAGAGCTCATGTTCTTTGTATCGCCAGTGTTATCTCACTCACAACTCAAATAACCTAAAGTATAGTGGCTCAAGAGGCCCTGTGTGGCAGGCTTTCCTGACTGGATTGCTCTAAAAGCCAAAGGATTTACAGACTAGGTTCCACACAAACCCAGCTCTCCTCAAGCAGCGCCACCTGGCTGAGGTGGGAGACAGCATTAGGTTCCTTGGGGACTAACAGGATGGATGCTGTGTGAGGTATGAAGCAATGGAGGGGACCCGTTTCCTAAATTCAAACGTTCGGAACCAAGGGTTGAGCTTCGCAATTATTCCGGCTATAATTCATCTCCACGAAGCCAGCCTTCTATCTTTTGGAATGCATCCAGTAGGCTCTTGGTCTCACATCACGCTGGGGCAGAACCCTGTTTCTAAGCTTTCACTGTAAACATTGATAACCGGAGGCTGAGCCCAGAAACCAGAGCCATCTGCCCAGACACTGGCCTGGAGCTTGGAGGTTCCGGGCTTCTGGGATCAACATACCTTTGTACCATAAACGATAACCTGGCACCTCCAATCTGTTCATGTAGGTTATACCTATCAATGCACTTATTTATAAGTTAAACTGAAATAGTGTTTAACTCATTAAACTATAACGTGAAACACATTGCACGATGTGATAATGAAATAGTTCCACAAAGGATGATTTTAAGACAAAGGGAAGCATTCCCAGGAAGGAAGGGGCATTGCTTTGCATCTGCAAATCCCTAATGGCAGGCTGGCTCACTAGAAGACATCTGGATTTCCCAGGCAGTTTCTGTCTGGTTTGTTTCTGTATCTCACACCACACAGCTCCTGGAAACCATCACCACAGCCTCTAAAGAATGAGAGTGAATAAACAAGTGACAACTGATAACGGAGACATAAGACCATGCCTCCCGGTCCTGGGTGAGTGGGAGGATACCCGGGGAAACAGCCAGATGAAATAAGGTGCCGGAACTTCATTGAGACCTGGAATAGCAGCTTAAAACTTTAGGTTGCTTACTTCTGGAACTTTGTGTGAATATTTCCAGGCAGAGGTAACCGATAAGGACTACTATGTTGGGATCTATTTTTGCACCGTCATCTGTTTACACATTCTTCTGGAGGGCATCACTTGGTGTTTCACGTCTTGAGTTACTGGGAAGGATCGGTAGCACGAGTAATAAAAACCCATAGACAGACGTTGGGGTTCAAACTGAAGATCGAAAAGGTAAAGCAGCCAAGCCACTAAGGGAGTTCTTACTCTCTCTCTCTCTTCATGATTTGTTTTTATTTTATTTGCATTGGCGTTTTTGCCTGCTTGTATGCCTGTGGGAGGGTGTCGGATCCCATAGAACCAGAGTGACAGACAGTTGTGTGCTGCCACACGGGTGCTGGGAATTGAACCCAGGTCCTAGGAATCGAACCCAACCAGAGCTCTTAACCGTGGTGGAGCCATCTCTCCAGCCCCCCAAACCTCTTTTCTTAATAAACCATTCTGTGTAGTCTGTGCACCAGCAGGGAACAGACTGATTCTAATGCAGCACTACCCTCTTTGCTTTTTGGAGACATGGTCTCACCATGCGCCCCGGGCTGGCTCGGAGCTTGCATCCCTCTTGCTTTCTGAGTGCTTGGATTACAACTGTCCTGCAATAGCCTGCACAGTCTGATGCCACAGCCGCTTCCCGCCCTGACCCAGCGCTCTTCTCAGCTTTTCCAACTTTGAGGAGTCTTGTCATGAGACCCACCAAGTCTTAGTGCCTCCCAGCAACTTTCCGCCTGGGTCTTTTCTATTTCCCTTTGTGTCCTGTAATGTCCCATGCCCCTGGTTAGGCCCCAGACTCCCAAAGCTGTTTCACGTGAGCGGTAGTTTTTGTTTTGTCTTGTCTAAAGGAAAAGGAAGCAAATTAGAATGCATCGAAGTCAAATGAAAGCTGTCAACCATTTTCTCTCTCTTTTTTCCTTTCGAGACAGGGTTTCACTGTGTAGCGCTGGCTGTCCTGGAACTCAGTCTGTAGACCAGGCTGGCTTTGAACTCACAGAGAGCCGCCTGCCTCTGCCTCCTGAGTGCTGAGATCAAACGTGTGCACCACCACCGCCCTGTCAATCATTTTTCTATATAGGAAATACACATCACCATTGCCTGGAATGCTAACTGGGCCGTTCTACCTCAAGATGCCTCGATCTCAAAGCTGGACTGGGCCATCAGTGCCAGGGGAGGAGCCCTGTGCCAGGGGAGGAGCCCTGTGCCTGTGGACCCACCACCCCAGGGAAGGGTTCTAGTCTCATCTACTGAAGAAAAGGGTAAGAGAACCGTCCACTCGTCTGAAAGCTGGGGAGACGGTTCAGGCTGCTCACCCAGAGGAAACCACCCATGGGGTCCACGATGATTCTGCCCCTAGCCCAGGGGGATGAGGGCAGGTGGGAAAGGCTGGTTCTAGTAGGCCAACGGGGTGAGCAAAGGTGGGCACACTGGTTGGCAACGCATTGCCATGAAACCTCGGCACCTGCCACTCCACTCGGCACAGCTCGGGGTGTGCAGGACCAAATTCATGGCTCTCACAGGCCCCAAAACATGGTTTTTCAAAGTCAGGAACAAGGAAAACACCATACTTTTCATCTCAGATGGAATAATGTCTTAATAAGCTGGTCTCCTTTTGTTCTCCTTATTAACTTGGATGAAGGAAAAGGGCTGCTTCCCCCAACAATTAACAGAGCAGGCGAACTTATTTTGTGTGTGACTCCAACCTCGTCCCGGGTACAGCTCAGAGGTCACCTCCCTCAAAGCTATTTTCCCACCCTGAAGGCTAGTGTCACGTCGGCAGGTACAGTGTTCATGAAATATTGCGCTGCTAAGTGGCATAACCCATGCATATTATATGCACAGAATGGACACATAAGAGAAGCTGCACAAGTGACTAAAACAAAAGTTTTCAATATTTGAGAAGAAAAAAGATATGTAGGCACAAACCTGTAATCCCTACACTCAGAGGAGGCTGAGGCAGGAGGATTGCTGTAAGTTCTAGGGCAGCTACACAGTGAGTTTCAGTTTAGTGTGGCCACGGTAGGCATGAGAACAACCCTGGACAAGAGAGGCAGGGTTGGAGAGTTGGTTCAGTGGGCAAGGGCACCTGATGCTCTTGCAGAGGACCTGGGTTCCGTTCCCAGCACCCACATGGCAGCTCTCAACCTTCTGTAACTGCAGGTCCCGTCGGATGCCCTCTTCTGACCTTTGTGGGCATCAGGCATGCATGTGGCACGCATGCAAACATGTAGGCAAAAACTCATACACACAAAGTAGAATAAATACATCTAAAAAGAGAAGGGGCACGGCATGCCCTATTGGCGTGTCTGCCACGCGCCTCAGGCCCCAGGGCCCTGGGGAAGCTGCAGACTTTGGGTTAGAAGTTTAGAAAATAAGTAAGTCACCTCTTGAACAGTGAGTTTCCGTTTATTATTGTGCACCCCCCCAGCTGAGCCGTCTACTAACTGGCAGCGATTTCCCAATAATCACAGCGTGAGAGGGAAGCACGCTCGTGTGACCCTCCGTGGTGGATGACACACCGCGCAGTCTGTCTGCCTCTACTCCTAGACATGAAGTGACTGGCAGAGCTGCTGTGCTGCGGGAGGGCGTGGTTGTGTCCGGCTTTAGTCAGGGTCCATGGCAAACAGCTGGATGTCCTGTGGGTTCCAGTACAGGCCGACTGCCGAGTTGTAGACCAGAGACCAGACGTAAGGGATGAAGAACTCCTCGGGCTGTTCCTCTTCCACATATTTGAATTTCAGTTCTGGAAATTTCTGAAAGGAGAACAAGATGACTCTTTACGTACGAGAACAAGCAGTGGTGTGTGTGTGTACAGCAGGCTCTCCCCAGAGTGGCTACCGACTGAGAGCGCCAGCCTTTCACAGGGTTTGACTGCCCAATGGCTTCTGGGATTACCTGCTGTGCTGGCTAGTTTTATGTCAACCTGACATGAGCTAGAGTCATCTGTGAGGAGAGAATCCCAATTTAGAAAAACGGTTCCGTAAGAGCAGGCTGTAGGCTAGCCTATAGGGCATTTCCTTAATCAGTGATTGATGTGGGCGGTGCTGTCCCTGGGCAGGTGGTCCTGGGTTCTATAAGAAAGCAGGGTGAGCAAGCCAGTAAGCAGCTCCCCTCCACGGCCTCTGCACCAGCTCCTGCCTCCAGGATCCTTCCCTGTTTGAGTTCCCGACCTCATTGCTTTTGATGATGAACGGTTACACTGACCTGTGAGTGAAATAAACCCTTTTCTTCCCAAGCTGCTTTGGTCATGGTATTCCGTCACAGCAGCAGTGACCCTAGCTAAGACACCTGTGGCCACAGCAAACAATATGATGACCCTGGCTGGTTTGTCGAGGAGGGACCTAGATGAGGGGGGTAAAAGGAGGCAGGGCTGTGCACGGTGACAGGCAAGGGACAGCGTCAAGGTCTGGTTCCTCTTGGGAGATCCCGTCTCGGGGAGTGGGTCATTTTGGAGGTGAGAATCTTTTCCCAAAAAATTCTCAGCCTTGTGACTGTATAAAGTTCATGGGAGACATACAGACTCTGTTCTGGACAGGCGCTCATCTGAGTGGCTGTGTTAATCTAGCTGTGTGATAAATTCTTTACAAGGAAGTAATTAAAAAGTCTGAACCACAAGCTGAAGTGGGAGGCATGGTTGGCTGGGGGGCTGCTGGCTCTGCAGTCTGGCCTCATCCTATGGGGGCAGAGAGAGGCCAAGGTCCTTCCTCTTAGGACTATGGAGGCTCAGGCTGGCTCTCTACAGCCTCTAGGGCTCTGGAACACTCTTCACGGCTTCTGGCCCGCAGGTTCATGACCTGAGATAGCGTTTATCATTGCACCATAGCATCAGGATTGGCTTCTAACTCAAATTTTATTCCTGACCTACTAATCCTCGCAGAGCAGAGGCATCTTCCCCCTGTAGCCTGAGGAGCAGGTGGGTCTACGGAAAGCCTTTTGGCCTTCCCCTCAGCCACAGAGGCCCTACCAGAAGAGGCTATGCTGTGCTAATCCCTGTTGTAGGTGGCGTGGGGAGGACAGGGACAAGTCAGGGTCCTAGGGTGTAGGTGGAAGGCTGAAGGAGAGGAGGGAGCGAGGTATCCACCTGCATCCACTGTGCTCACAGGCGGAGACTCTGGGGCTTGCTGTGTCTCTTCCCCAGAGTTCTAGTAGGTGTTCGTAACTCGCACGGCCAATGAATGTGTCCGTGAAATAATCTCCATGCGCTGAGTGCTAAGCACGTCCTAGACGCAGGGGCAGATAGGTGAGGGCTGTCATCTCACTGAATCTTATTCATCACAGAGCACATTTGTTTACACAGTGCCTGCTGCGTGGTGCCAGGAGGCCTGTGTGGGCTGGGGCCCAGGGTGCAGCAGTTCCTGTTCCCACAGGAAGTACACTCTCCCGGAAGGACAGCCAAGTAGCAGTGGGGACAGCAGTGAGCACTGCAGGGCCTGCCGTGGCAGCATGGCCAGATGGCGTGGGAAGCATGTCCTCAAGGGACAGAGTATGAATCCCGAGCCATGCCATGCTGGTGAGTCTGGAAGGCAGCAGCGAGTGCCAACACTGGCAAACAGTGTCTGGAGCTGAGACACAGACTAAGGCCTCGGGAGTCTGGGGAGGGCCTGAAGAAGGGTGGGGCATAAAGAATGCCCTGTACAGTGACCCCAACCCCAGTGTGGGAGACCGACATCCCGAGGTTCCCTAGGGGAGGTGCAAACTTTGGTCTGAATTGAAATGGGGCTAGCTGGGGGATTCCTGTAGACAAGGTACACACACACACACACACACACACACACACACACACACACACACACACACACGCACGCACACACGCACGCACGCACACACACGACTGTGTGCATAAACATGTATGCACACTCAGATACACACACGCACACACACGCACGCACACACGCGTATGCACACTCAGATACACACGCACACACACATGCACACACGCACGCACGCACACGCACACACACGACTGTGTGCATAAACATGTATGCACACTCAGATACACACACATGCACACACACGCACACGCACACACACACGCGCGCGCACCCCTTTACCACGAGCACCTTACTGAAAAGAACTGTGGCCCCCAGCCCATGGGCTTACTGTTGTCTCAGCCCTCAGTGGTGAACTGGAGCTGGTCCCAGTTTTCATTTATTTCATACGAAACCACAGGCTAGGCTTTCAGAATCCAGGGACTTTCTGAGCATCTGGCATATTATTGACACTTGCTGAACCGAATGAACAAGACTTCATATCCACACAATAATCTTGGGGCAGTTGACCAGCCTAAAGGGGCTACAGCCAGCAGAATGTGGGACTCTCAAACCAAGCCTTGGGGTGTCCATCCTCAGACTACATGCAGCTGGGGGGGGGATGAGGTTTCCATGTCTTCCAAGAAGCACACAATTGTCTCCTTTAACCTTGGTGCCTGGGTGAATTCTGTGCTCTGGCAGGCCAGGCTAGGGCCAGAAGAGCAAGCTGGGCAGTTCAGGGTGTTTCCCTGGGACTTTGGCTTCTCATGTTGTGTAAAATGTAGGCCTTATGAATTCCTTTCAATTCTGACTGATTACCAAATGACCTTAGAGGGGGTTCTAACCCTCTCTATTCCTTGCCATGCCTTCTGAGCCCACTGTAACATTAAAGTCAGGCCAGTGCACACAGCTAGTGTCACAGCAGACACCTATGTTCCCTGAGGCCACTCACTTGTCCTGGCCATTCCCCTGATGGTCTTCAAGGCCAACTCTTCTAACTGTCTAAGACCAAGACAGTATCAAGCAGTTGTGGAGCGACCAGGAACTTAGTACTAAGCCCTCCAGATCGTAGTGCCTGTGCATGCTGGCTGGTGAAGATCTGATCACTTCACAGGGTTTCCAAACTGGGGTCTCCTGAGTGTGCGTCCCCAGTAACAGGAAAGCAGAGGCCAGAGACAGAACAGCATGACAACATGGACACACTGCCACCGCTGGGGAAAGTTTGCGTATGGACACAGCACACAGGGCCCCCAGACCACAGCAGCCTTTCTTCGTGTCTGCTGTCTTTCTCCTTGACTGGATGACTGAATGGTGAGCTGTTACTTCCTGGGTTCTTTCTGGAATCTTCACCAGCAGGTCACATGGTTCACAAAGGACTGATGAGCACAGAGCAAAGAAAGCAGAGACCTGATTTCCAGACTGGAGACGTGAGGCAAACACCCGGAAGCGCAAGGTATAAATCCCTTCTACTGGAATGGTTTGTTTGTACGCCTAGCTGACAGAGGACTCTGAAGGGGCAGACAATGTGCATAAGGGATGAGAGTTTTCCAAATGCTGCTCAGCCAGCCTGACCCCTGTGCATGCAGCTGCACAAAATGGGCCTGCACTGCAGTTACCAGGCCCGCCCCCAGCCCCACTACCACACCCGTCTGCTTAGCTCTAGAGACTTGAACAGTTACCCTTAAGACCAGGTGCTTCCCTGAGATGTCTTTGCATGCTCGAGAGCCAAGGGAAAGAAGGACAAAAGGCTTTATTTAGAGCCGAAGACACCAGGGACACATTTGGTCAGGATGCAGTCCAAAAGTGTCAGTCTGAAAGTCAAATGACAACCCAGAAAGAGTCATCTTTCCCTTACATTCCTTTGCCAGCCTATGGAGGACAGTGATGGCATCGGGTGTGGCTGAGGGACATCCAGCTTCCTCACTGGATCCCTCACACCCCAGACTGTCCAGGCTCTCACGTCAGTCCAGAGCTTTGCTTTCTCTGCCTCTCTGGCATGACTCAGGCCTGCTGGCTCCATTGACTTTCGGGTTCCTGTGTCCTGGGAAGGGACAGGTGTTTGAGAGGGACAAGGGGCTGCCAGGTAGGACAGGAGATCTTTGGCCCTGGCTAGCCCAGGGCAGTAGCAGGCTTTATCGGCCCAGGTGGTTCTAGTAGGGGCCCTGGCTTTTCACACCTCTCTTATGGTTCCTGGCCTGTGGCTTGGTCCCGACACGGGAGAAAACCCACCTCTGAAGCTAGCAGCTTGGTCTTCGTCCAGAGTCGCTACTCACAGCAACCCTGTTTTGGGTTTTGGAGCCAGAGGTAACGCTAGACTCTCAAGCAGAGGGAGCTAGAAATTTTTTTTTTTTTTTTTTTTTTTTTTTAATTTATCAGCTCCTGTGAAATCAACCTACCACAGTGGGACATCCGGACGCTCAGTTCAGAGACAAAGCAGAGGTCTGATTTGGCGGAGAGACTTGGGTATAGCAAGCACACGGAAAGTCTACAGCCTGTCTCTGTCGTCAGTCATGTGATCTGGTGAAAACCCACAGGAAGTCGGTGAGCAGATGTAGGGTACAACTGTAATAATTTTATTACTACAGAAGTTCAGTAGAGATTTCCAGCTCCCACCTAAAGTCTAACAGATAGCATCAGACATCCAGCAAGCACCTGGCATGGCTCCAGGAAGTTAATGCAATTTACAATCAAACAGCTACACAGCACACTGAAAAAGTTTTCTGCACACAGTAAGTAGGGGAGACAGGTGGAGGGTGGCCACTGGGCCTGAGGCAGCCAAAACTGGCTGGCAGCTAGGGTGGACTGGGACTGACCAGCCAGCCACTGTGCACAGTGCTGGTTTGTGGTGGGCAGCCCATTCAGCCAGAGCAAAAGTGGCGTCGTGAGCCTGTCGCAGGGCAGCAATGAAAGCTGTGAAGCCCACGGTTTCACTACAGACGTGGGGACCGTATCGCCTCCTGCCATCCCCCTGCCTCAGACCATCAGGGTGTTACTTCCACCTAAAC